AGCTGCTGCTCAAGCACAAAATAGCAGTTCACAATTTAAGCAGGCACACTCAAGGTCTTCCCATTGGTCCCAAGTAAACTGTAACTTTCTATTTGATTGCATAGAATTTTTATGCCACAAAGAGTCTGAGGCACAGCCAGTAAAGATGGTAACTCCAAAATTGTTGGAAATCGGTAGAAAAGAACCCCAGTTAGGCAATTTTCTAATAATTTGTCAACTGTTCTGAAAGAAGCTCCAAAGATTTCATGACTTACCCATTTATTCATAAGTTACTATCACTGATCTGCTTACGCCATAAAGAAATTGTGTCAATATCACAAAGTATTTAACTAAAAATACAAGACAAATGACTACCACCACCCCCCAATGCAAAGAATAATATTTTATGTTCTTTTTCTCCAGATTTCTAGTGGAAGGAAGTGATAAGAATGAACATGAAGTAGCTTGTTATATTAAAGCTCCTGCAGTTGCTCTAGAGAATCTGGTGTGTAAGATAGTCAATGACATCAGTTCCTTGGTAGTGGATGATTCTGAGGAGCTGGTCAGCAATGTCATCAGTATTGAATGCTCTGACTGTGAAAAAACAATCCCTTTCCCTATCAAGATTGCAATCCCATTCACTTCATGCTTTAGAGGAAATTATCGGGACATTATGGTGAAGGTGACTGATGTGAACTTCCAGTCAACTTACTTGACTCCCATTTCTTTGGAGGAATACCAAGGAAACCATAAGGTTAGTCATCTCTTAACTAAACATTATGGAAACATCATTCTGGTTCACCAGTTAAGCCTATATGGAATTATACAATAAAGGGAACATCTGTAGGCCATTTTACACATTTTACAGGTTAAGATGAACTTCTTCCTCCTACTTCCTCAAGAATTAATTCTATTTAAAACCTAGTATTTAACAAGATCTGTTTTTCATTAATAGTGATAAGGGAAATGCTTGACCCCACAATACTGACAACTGAGTAGTAGTTTGTGATTTTTGTAAATATGTGTAATATGTTGCATTCTTTGGTAAATACAGGAAAAACTTAAGTGGCATTATTTTGCATTTAGATCATAGCGAAGTAACATAATTCTGTGTGTACAAGTCCAAATTCCATCTCAGAGAAACACAGGATAATAACTTTGCGGGGTTTTGTTTCGTTCTGTTCATTTGTTTGTTTTTAACTGCAGTTAACTCATATTGGGCCAGATTCATCACCCATCATCAACTCATTTCATTTCATCCCAACTGTATATTGGAATACTAATAACATTCCTTGGTGACTAGAGTAATACCAGGTAACTGGGCATCCAAGTGGCAATAATATTTAACTTATTTTCATTTCGCAACCAGCACTATAATTCATGTTCCACTCTCAAAATGCTAATCTACTGCTGAACATAACTTCCTCTCTCTCCAATGTGCTAGAGTACACTTTCTCTTTACACAGCAAACCTTTGCAGAAGTGAAGATTTATCAGCTGGGTATTTTTTCAGTGTTGTCATGCTTAAAGAAAGAAATGTTTACCATTCCAAAGGCTGGGCTCTCCCAAAAGCTGAGCGTGGACTCTAGAATCTCTTTCTGTTACCCTCCTGAAACATTCAGTTCTGCAGCAGTCATGCATCTAAAGGTAAGCTTGAAATATGCAATATTTGTTCCACAACTCTGTGCTATCTGATTAGTTCTGAAGAAAAGATAACAATGTGTCAATGAGTTAAAGGCCAACCTGTTCCTCTATTGGATGACTATGAAAAGTGGTTGCAGCTCCACATCCTGTATTCACAGCATATGGTTTCCTGTCAGCTTTGTTAAAACCACATGATATCCTCAGTAGTCAACATACCTCCAGCTAAAGGGAAGAACTGTCTACCTTTCTTTGATGTACTCCAGAAAATAAAACTGTTTTCAACATTGACATAAGCATCAGCTTCAATGTCAATTGCTTGGCCCAATGTTTAAGTTAATGGAACATATTTTCTCATCGAACCTTCATCAATTTTAGCTGACAGCGCAATGGAAGATCTTGTCACCTGCTAGTCTTAGTCTAGGAATAAGCTCAAAATTTGCTCCAGTTATACTGTATTTCTCCCTTCCCCCATAAAAATGTTAATTCTGAGGTACTGGTATGCATTTCAGAGGAACTAAAAGTAACAGTCAAAAAATATAGATTAGAAAAATCTTTTTAAAATACTCAAACTCTAAAGGAGGATGAAGCAAGAACAGAACAATCAAAGTACTTTCATCATTAAAGGTTCCAGTCTTTGATTACTTTGAAGCACTTGTTTGTCCTGATACGTTGCTAGGGTTGTTCCCGGGTTAAAAAGAGAAACCTAAAGTTTTTGTGATAGTCTAATCCTTTTTCAAAAGTTAAATTAATTTTTAAAAAAGATATTTAAAGCAAGTTCGATTCATTTGTAGACTAATTGTATAATTGTATTCTATACTTAGGTTCAGCCAATTGAACCATTGCTGGTTTCCAAACTGAAAGCAAAGCATGATATATACCGTTCAGTGGTGTCTACTAGTGCACTGGTTTATGTTCAGCATCCTTCAGCCCAACCACTTAACAAGTCAGTCACTGTTACTCTACCCTGTCCTCCAAACCCAGAAAAAAAAAGACAAGGAGATAAGACAGAACATGTGAGAGCCATTAGTGCTACAGTTAAAAGGGTTACTATGACGTATCATCCTCGGTAAGAACAACTTAAGAGTCTACAAATTCATCATGATCATCAAAATGATTTAATTTTAGCAGTTGCTGATTAATCATTTTTGTATTAAAAATGTACATGTAAAAATGTGTTAAAAATTCCTTAATGTGGTCTGCTATAGGTAGAAGCATTAGAAACACTGGAGCAGATCCCCACAGTTCTCATGCTAGCTTCACCAGGAAATTCTATATAGCATGCTGATTTATAATCAGTGAAGATGCCGGCCATTATACTTCTAATAGGATTCAGGATGAAAAATACATTCTTTTTTTTTTTTCTAGGAAAGAAATTTCCTAGCTATTTTCACAATCTTAAAAATAGATCTTTGCCATCCTTATTTAAACGGAATAGTATTTTATTCCATGCATAATCCAAAACAATACAAGCTACCATGACAAAATTAAGATTCTTAATTCAGAACTGCAGTTATGTGTAGGTACGATCTTTCACTGATGAAAGATAATTTCTCAAGATAACAAACAAACCCTTACTGTTTCTTACACAGTACCTCTTCGCAGTTTTTAAAGTTAGAATTTATAATATATTATACAAACACAGAACACAGATAATAGGTATGTCTCACAGCTCACCAATATTCTTCCAGTGGGTGGTTTGGCTACCTCTGTCTTTGAATTTTCTGACCTCTATTTCTCCATATTCCATTGGCTATGTGAGTGAAAATTCGGAAACACAATGATTTAGAGTATATCAGTTTTGTGATTCACAACTTGAGGCATCTGATATAGGGCCAGATGGTTCCAAAGCACATGCTACAAAATTTCTAAAAATTAGACTTTCCAATATGTCTTAAGATAAACACTCAACATGAGGACACCTAAAAAACTCTAAAATTCAGTTGCTACCTGGCAGTTTAATAAAACTGATCAAATGCACTCAGGACGTGGGTAAAATTTTTCGGTGGAAAAAAGGCCAAGACTGAACTCATCTATTTTGAGGGTCAGCAAAATAGACCATATTGTTTCCATCTCATGCAGGAAAAAAAAAAAATCAGTCTAAAGCTACCACTTCATTGTTGTCCTTCCAGTTCTGATGCCATGGGCAACTGCAGGCTTAGAAAGGCATGGGATTTCTTGGAAGGGACCAATCTGGGACAAGAGTCTGCTTTTAAGTACTTCTACTTTAAATCATTAAAGACTTAGCTTATTCCTTTTATATCAAACATTATATTTTTCAAAATTCATCTACATGCCAAGATTATAATTATTTCCACTATAAGCAGAGTACAGATGGAGAAGGGAGACAATGTTCAGACTTTACATTTCTGAAAAACTTCTTAGATCGTCTTTTAAAGAGCTTACGTTCCCACTGTTCTCTTAAACGAGATATCCATCTTCATCACAAACTTCAGATTTGGGAAGGCTGTATATGGGAGATGAATGTCTCCCATATGAATGTCTGTATATGGGAGATTCAAATTTCATTTGCTGTACCAGAAGCATTTCACTGTGTGGCAGTCCTCTCCTGGCATCTATTGGCACCTAATAGTGATCTAAAAGGCTTTGCAGGTTCTCAATCAAAGCATATCCATGAAAAGGTTGTGGCTCGATTGCTTGTTTCTATACAAGCCCCATAGAGAAAAGATGCCAACATTTTCCTGTGTTTGCAAATACTGAGAAAATATAC